TCATTTCCACTGTATACATTTTAAAAGCTATTCATTCGCTCATTCATTCATTCATTTATTCCTGACTGTGCCAGGCCTTAGTCGTGGCACCCGGGCGTCTCTCAGTTGCGGCATGCAGGCTCTCTAGTTGAGGCACCTGGGCTCAGTAGATGTACTGTGCAGGCCCAGCTTCCCCGAGGCATGTGGGATCCTAGATCCTTGACCAGAATTCAAATCAGGGTCCCCTGCATCGGAAGGTGGATTTTAAACCACTGGACCACCCGGGAAGTCCCTATTTCACTTTTATTTTTTGAAAGGTATTTTCATAAGGTGTGTAATTCTCACTTGGCATTTCCTTCCTTTCGGCACTTTAATCATACTGTTCCATCATCTCCTCGATCGCATCATTTGGTTGAGAAGTCATGTCGGTCTTATTGTAGTTCTATTGAAGGTCTTGTGTCTTTTCTCTCTGACTGCTTGTGAGACTCTCTCCTTGTCTTTCGTTCTGTGAGAGTGTGTTAGGGGTGACTCAGGGGCCCTTTAAGCATCTTGAATCTTGGCTTGAGGCTATTCATCAGATTTGGAAAATTCTTGGAAATTATCTTGTCAAGTATTGTTTCTAATCCACTTCTTCCCTCTTCTGGGATTCCAGTTATATGTACATTAGATCTTTTATGGGCTTCCCTGTGGCTCAAATGATAAAGAATCTGCCTGCAATGCAGGAGATCTGGGTTCTTTCCCTATATCAGGAAGATCCCCTGGAGGAAGAAATGGCAACCCACCCCAGTATTCTTGCCTGGAGAATTCCACGGACAGAGAAGCCTGGCGGGATACAGTCCATAAGGTCACAAAGAGTTGGACATGACTAAGTAACTAACACTTTTCTTTTTCTGCTCTTTCAACTGATTCCTGTGTCTTTTATCATCTTTTCTGTATTGGTCCTTCTTTTGTCACTCTGCACTGTAGGTAATACAGATTTTTCTCATTCATTCATTTTCCAGTTAATTAATTCTCTATTCTGCCTAGTCTACTGTGCTTTCAACGCCATTGACTGAATTCTTGTTTTCAGTTATTATGTTTTTCAGATCTAAAGTTTCCATTTGCTTTTTTTTGGTACATCCTGTTTTTTTGGCTGAAATTGTCCATCTTGTCACCAATTTTTACAATAATTACAATAATATTTATATCTGTGTCTGATAACTCCAGGATTTGCATCACCAGTGGGTCAGTATTTTGTCTGTTTTTTCCCCTCTCTTGTTCCTGCTACTGGTATACCCGGAAACTTTTAAATGAATGTTGAACACTGTGTATAAATTTGTAGAGCCTCTGTATAATGTTATAATCCTCTTGAGAGAGTTGACTTTAGCTTCTGGAGGCGTTTAGATTATAAGGAGGAAACATTAAGCCAAGCAGGGCTGATTCTCTGCTGGGTGTTAGACTTCCTCAGGCCATCTTTATCTCCGACTTACCCTTATTCCTGGGCTTCCCTGGTGGCTCAGAGTGAAGACTCCACCTGCAGTGCAGGAGACGAGCGTTTGATCCCTGGGTCAGGCAGAGCCCTGGGAAGAGGGCATGGCAACCCACTGCAGTATGCGGGCCTGGAGAGTTCCAGGGACAGAGGAGCCTGGTGGGCTATAACCTGTAGGGTTGCAGAGAGTCAGCCATGACTGAAGCCACTAAACTGAGCACGCATCCTCATTCCAGGACACAGCCGCCTCCAACTGTTCGCCTCCTTGGTGGGTGCCGAACTCCGATTTTTTTTTCTTTTCATGATCATAAATCTGCTGAAAGTTCTGCTTAGATTTTTAGTCTCTTAGCAGCCGCTTTCTGCCAGGCTCATTCTGCTTAGGATACAGAACCTTTTTGGAAGAGTAGATGGAGAGAGTTCTGGACTCATTTCTCTGTGCTTCTCCTCTCCTGGAATTTAGATCGTCAGGTTCTGGGTGCCCTGACAGCCCTCAACTCCAAGTTTCATCTCCCCAATCCCAAGAGATTTCTAAGAGCTCTGATTAGCTGCCACTTTTTGTCTTTTTTTTTTTTTAAGCTTGGCTCCTTGGCCCCTCAGAACAGCTGCCTGCAAATTGGAAGACGTCTCTGGGGAAAATCAGAGTGAACTCTTTGGCTTTGCGTTAATGAGTTTCCCTCCTCTCTGGATTTGGCCTCTTTGGTCCTGGTTGCCTCTGTAGCTCTCTCATGCCTTTAAACAGACGCTCTAGGCATTTTATCTCACTTTGCTCTTTGCTGGGAAATCAGGAAGGAGGGTAGGCAAGAGGCGATGTTGGCCTCAACTCAGCTGGAGGCAGCGGAGATGGCAGAAGATGGATTGAGAGAGAGGAGGTCATGGTGATTTATCAGAGGGGGAGGAGGAGCTCCTAATGAATGCAGATTGTTCCTCTGAGATGCCAGGCACACACTCACCAACACCAGGCTCCCACAGGCTCCTCTCTGGATGTCTAAATCTCTCCCCTATGCATCCTGTTATAGTCCCGAACCCCCATGGGTGTCATTTGTGCCCTTGTGGACACCATTTCTGTCCCTGTTTACCTCCCTCAGGTTTCCCTGATGGAGGTAAAGAAATTGCCTGCAATGCAGGAGACACAGGTTGGAACCCTGGGTCAGGAAGATCCCCTGGAGAAGGAAATGGCAACCCATTCCAGTATACTTCCCTGGGAAATCCCATGGACAGAGGAGCTATAGTCCACAGGGTCACAAAGAGTTGGACACGACTGAAGCGACTAAAAAACCACCACTTCCTTCATCAGCTGGGAGCTCTATGTCCCCAGCATTGTCCAGAACTGAGATGATTGCAGGCCACAGAGGGAATGAATTCATTAAAGAAATGTGAATTTGTCTAACAATGACCTGTGGTGAGATGAGTGTCTCCTGGGTCCAAAGGCACCTGGAGCCGACTGCCCTGGCCCCGGTGGGCGGGCAGCGTGGCGAGGCTGAGCCTTCCGAGGTCCCCCAGGCCCCAGTCCATCTGCTCCCCCGGCAGCTGGCGTGCCTGGGCCCCGCTCTAACTGGGTCACTGGACGAGTCCTAAGGCTATTCCCAAGGCAATCCCCGGGCTGCCAGCTGTGCCCAGCCTTTACCCACTCCTGTCCAGGCCACATGCTCAGCACCCCCACCCCTTTATCAGGTCAGAGTGGGTGTGTACCAGCGGCAGGCCTCTCCCTGGCGATGGGAGGACCCGGGGAGTGCATGCTTGCAGCAGCATGGAGGAAGAAAAGAGAGAAAACCACCACCACCAAGCCTCTCCTTCCGGGCCGGATTTAGACCAACAACCTGATACCTGGCGCATGCGCCCCACCCTCACGCTCCCACCTTGCCAGGCCCTCCCCGACGGCCCACTCCTTCTCTCTCCTGATCACACAGGGAAGAGCTGGCGCAGCAAGTTACCACTCACCTCTGACCGTCCGGGCCCCCTCTGTGCAGCGGAGCCGAGGTGCCCCCAGGGCAGGGGCCATAGGACAGAAAAAGCTGGCCAGGCAGGCATAGCTACGGGAAACTCCTTTGGGTCTCAGATGGAGAGTTTCTGAGGCACTGTGGATAGGTGTGGGGGCAGAGTTGGGAAGTGAAGTCAGAGGAGGGGGTACCCCAGGTCATGCAGCCTGAGGGAATTGGGCTGGGGTCTCAGGGGCTGTATTTTCATTCTTTCCAGAAGCTCCAGCAGTTTCTGGCTCCAGGGTAAACTCCCAACCACCGCCCACTGCCTCCTCCAGGCCTTGGCCACACGATGGACTCCTATTACCCCTCAAAACTGCAAGGCTGCCTCCTCCGGGAACCCTGCCTGAGCCTCCCTGCCCCTCCCAGAAAAGGAGTCATTCTTTCTCTAGGATGCCTCCCCGATCTGACTTCATGCTGGGTGGGCAGTCCCTGCATCAGTCTCCCTGGCCCCTGCCCAGATGTGGGCACCATGAGGACAGTCTGCCTCATCCATCTCTCGCTGTGCCCCCAGCTCCCAGTTCCTTGCTTCTCTGAGGCTCAGCCACTCCCCTTAACTGATGGGTCACTTCCCCAACAGGTCATGTCAGGTCCTCTCTCCCCACCGTGAGGGGGCAGAGCTTTCAGCAACGGGTGACCATCGAGGGCTTGATTGCCGGCAGGGGAGATATTTTCTAGGAAGCATACCTGGGGCTTCTCAGAATCAGAGACCCGAGCCCAGCCAGGAAAGGGACCAGGAACCAAAAGCTGCCTGGCGGCTGAGAACACAGGCAGATCCACCCGTGGATCAGCCAGCCGCTCCCCCAGGTCCATCCCTCAAGGCCACGAGCATGCTGCTGCCCTCACTAGGGGCTTTGCGTTTGGTTTCTGGCCACCAAACAATGCCAAGTTGGTCCCCAACATCCGAGGCATCAGCGGGTCAGAAACACAGCCTGTGCCTGAAGCATCTGGTTTGGATATTGCAGGAGAAACGCCCGGAGCGCTTTCATGATGGGGCCTGGGTTGCCAGGAGAGCAGGGCTGGTGGCCAGAGAGTCCCCAGTGTCCGGCTGGAGAGCCCTCAGGCCTAATGACATCACTGCACATAAAACGTTCAAGCTCTCTGCTTGTTCTCAGGTAGAGACCAACCATTTTAGCAGGGCCAATAAGGTCCTGCAGGTTCTGGCCCAACCCTTGACCGCCAGCACCCGTCCTCTTGGCTTGGGCCACCCTGCGAGTCCTTCATTGCCTCAGCTACATCCTGAGGTCCTGCCTCAGGGCCTTTGCACAAGCTGTTTCCCAGGCTGAGAAGGCTCTTCCCCACCTTCCATGTGGCCAGTTGATTCCTCCACGCCCTTGGGGTCTCAGCTTGAATGTCTTGTACTCAGGGGGGGACTCCCCACTCCTGTTTGCACTCACACACTATTGTGTCCCCTCTAGAGACTGCAAGCTCCCCCAAAGAGCTGGTATCCTTCTGACTAGCCCTGTACCTGACATGTATTTGGTGCTCCATGAATGTTTCTTGAATGACTATGTGAGGGATCTCTGGCCTTGGCAGGCTTGAATCTGCACTCCAGCCTCCCTCTGCCCCTTAACATTTTACATGAGCTCGGACAAGGCACTGAGGGTGAAGCCGGCAGAGGCTGCTGGGCGCACCCCACAAGGAACTGCACCCCGCGCTGGCGGAGCCTCGAGAGGCCTGAATGCCCCGCTGGCCACGGCCCCAGCACAGGTGGGCTTTGGAACTTCGCCTGGGGAGTAACTTGCAACCAGATCTGTGCGAGGCAGCCCGAGGTAGACTCTCATCTCGGCCGATCGGTCCCCAAAGCTCCTCCTGAGGAGGAGGAAGGAGACTGCCCCGCGCCCAGCACTCCCCGCACCCCTGTGTGCACACACACACACACATGTGCACACACGCGCGCGCCCCTTTCTGACGCCCGCCCATCTTGCATACTCCACCCAGACAGATTGAAAAAGGCCCCAGCTGCTCCCTGGGCCTCCAGGTCCCTCCAAGGCAAGGAGGAATTAATCAGGCTGGAAGCAGCTGACAAACTTACCCATGAGCTGAAAAGGCCCAGACCCGTTGCACAAACCACCCCATCTCCCTGCTCTGGGCAGATGTGGCCCCAGCTGCCCCCACACTGTGCCATCCATCCTGGAGGCACCCCAGCCTGCATCCAATTATCTCCAGCTACCAGCCCAAGGAACAATGGGAGGCGGGGCTCTTATTGACAACTGCCCTGGCCCAGAGGGGCTTGGCCCTCCCACCCCAGCTCTGGGTCATTCTCAGTTGCCAAGGAGGCACCCTGGGGACTGGCTGTGGCCCATGGGTTCAGTGGAGCCGGGTCTGTCTCCCTGTCAGTGCAGGGAGGGGAACAGCATTAATTCTGGTGTGAGTGATGCTGAGAAAGACTCACTTGGTACGCAGTCCGAGGTGATGGCTGGTTGGAGTCCCAGCCCTGACATGGACCAGCTAGGACCACAGATTCATCACTTTGGTAACAAGTGCATGGACGGGAGGCTGGGTCCTTGGTAATCGCAGCCTTTCTCCAGGCTCTGCACATGAGCCCACGTGCCCCCTGCACAGGACTCCATTCCCTCTTGACCCCCTCCCAGGGGAACCCGTCCCCTTCCCAAGGGTCTGCTCCCCAAACCCCACTCAACTGGCTGATGGCTCTTTACCCCTCAGCAATAGACACGCCCATGATGCACTCAGCAAGGGTTGGGGACCTGGGGGTGGGACAAGCTTCATTCTTCCTCCAGCCCCTCACTCCTACCTGGCAGACCCTTTCCATCCTGGCATGAACACTAACGGTATTTCCTGTAGTTTTTCCAGGCACCTTGGGGTAATACAAAGTCCAGTCTAGTCTAACATTAAAAGTTCAGAGTCTCAATGAATTTAAAGCTTCTGCCTGGCCCAGCCCAGCTTATCGTGGTTTTAGGGGCTGGGACGTGGTCACTTTCTCCTCTGTCCACCCTCCTCCCCCATTGCTGAGTGCGATTCTTACCCCTCAGTAACCAGGCTCACAATAGGGCCAGAAGAAGGGCAGGGAGAGTCTTCAGATGGGTGCAGCCATCTTCAGGGACCCTCCCCAAGGGCCCCAGAGCTTGTGGTTCCTTGGGCAATGCCCGTCCTCAGCCTCAGCTCCCAGGATGCACCTTTCTTCAAGGTCTAACTGGCCCCAAGAATGAGCCCTTTCGTCCCACAGTTCCTAGCACAGCCTCGCTCCTGGCTCACCTCCAGCTGCCTCTTGTCCGCAAACCTATATCCCCAGAGGACCCCAGGGGACACTGGCAGACCCTGGGGGGTGGTTTGTTTGCTACCTTCACCCATGTTCCTCCAGCAATGACTGGCACACACCAGTGTTTTTGTGCAAATTACAGCCAGACCCCTTCCTCCAGGCAGACCCCCTGGAATGCCTGGAGTTCAACCCTGGTCACAAAGTGGTGACTGCCTTTGGGACCTATGCCCAGGGCTAGACTGGCTTGTGTGTGCATCCCCTCCAATGCCTCCACCCCGGGCTCTCTTGACACCTCACGCTCCCCCATCTCAGCATTGGCACCTAGCCTGGAGTTCTTGAGCAAGATCTTGAAGGCAGACACTGCTTCCTGGACAGAACAGTGTTCCCCAAGTGTCAGCTGAGTGAGTGGGCTGGTGGGGAGCCAGCTCTCCATGAAATGGGGCCCCCTCCATGCTGGAGTCCAGGGAGCCAGAACCTCAGGGGGTCAGGGGGGCAGCGGCTGCACCTTGGGGGATTGGTTCCCCATGGGAAGCTCCCCCTGCCCTGCCCCGCTGCCTGGGGAGGAGTCCCATGACCCTCTGATCCCACACCCAAGACCCAGTGCCCCACCCAATTCCTCTTTCCTTACACCAGGCCTGTCCCCACGCAGGAGGTGGGATGCGGGTGGCCCCACCTCTGTGATCTCTAACATGCGGGGCAGCTGCTGGAGCGGTGGTCAGGGCGGGGGTGGGGCCTGCAGGAGCACTGCCATCCTTCTCTGGGCCTCAGTCTCCACATCTGTGAAAGGGAGCAGTGAGTCAGGCCCATCTAACCAAGGAGGCTTCTGGGCCAGGGTTCCCCCAGGACATTCAACCGTTCCTCCTCCGATCCTCTATCTGTGGGCCGGCCCAGAGCCACCGGTGGGTGCGAGCACTGACTCAATCAGTGTCAGACGGGGAGCCGAGCAGGATTCCAGGGCACCCTGGGAGGATGCTGGGTGGCATCGAGACACTGCTGCCAACCCGCTCCGCAGGGACCCTCGCTACAGCTGGGCTGTGTCCGATCCTGTGGGCCGGCCCTTCCAAAGGGCTGTGCTGGGCGGAGGGGCCTCAGATCCTGGATGCAAGCCTGTGCCCGCTCCTTCTCAGGTCCTGGGCTCGCTGACATGCAGACCAGAGGCTCCTGAAGGCAACTGCCTGGGGCCAAGGAGGGCCAGGAGGCCCAGGGAGAGAGGCCGATCCTGGGATTCGGTTCTGTGCGTCACGCATCAGCTGCTCACAGGATGCTGCTCTGAGTCAGGCTCCAGGGTGGAGACCTCCCTGCGCTCCCGGAGGTCCACACATCTAGAAATGGGGCCCAGGACTGACCAGTTCAGGCTGGCCCTCCCCTGCCTCTCCTGCAGCTGTCTGTCTAGGAGCCTCATGGCGGGGAGGGAGCCTGTTTTACAACCGAGGAAGGGAGCCAGGCCAGGCAAAGTGACGGGCCCCAGACCCCTGGGCCCCTCTTCTAGCAGGTCACTCAACACGCGTGCTGAGGGGCAAGTTGGCCCAGTGATCACATACCCCACCACGGGGGCCAAAGTGCCGTGGGTGAGTCCTGGTGTCCACCTCCAGGCATTTATCTTGGGCAAGCCACTCAGCCTCCCTGGGCCTCGGTCTCTCTACCTGTGAAATGGGCTGGATCACAGCACATGCTGCAGGTAGTGGACACAAGGCAGGGGCGCGAAGCGTGTCTGCTATCAGGGTCACCTGCCATGCAGGGCCTGTGCCAGGTGCCGGGAGGGACAGAGAGAGGCACAGTGCCTGCCTGACAGACACCAGCAGGTGCCAGGGGCTGGGGGGGCCTCCCCCGGGGGGGGGCCGTGGACCAGGACCCCGCGATCAGACTTTTCCTTCCTTTCTGTGGCGAATAGAACAGGCGCGTAGAAGTCGAGTGTGAGAGAGAAGGCCTCCTCTCTGTCCCCAACCCAGCAGGGTGCCCCCAGGGTGGGCCCCCTCCCGCCACCATCCTGGGCTGGCCTCACTTCCTCTGCTCCTTTAAACACCCACCCTCCACTCCCGGTGGCCACATGGCCCTGGGCATGCTTTTTAGCCCCACAAAATGGGATTAAAAAACATCTATCTTACTTAGGATGATAAGAAAAATAAACTAGATAATCAGACAGCCATTCGAAACCCATCAGCTCCCTCTTCTCGTTTCCCTCTGTAATTTTCAGATAGGCTGAGTTCAAGTGACTTTAGACTCTACTGAGTGGATCTGCACAGCTCACTTTGCTTCTCTGAACCATCTGCTACCGTGATAACCCCAGTGAACATCTTTGTAACCAGGGCTTCCCACGGATGGTCCCTGGAGGCGGAAGCCGGGGACTGGTTGTGACAAACTCTGGCTTTGCCCCCGTTGGGAATGGTGGAAGGCATTGCCTTTGAGAAAAGCATCTGGGGTGCTCTGAGAGCTGCAAGGACCAGCTCAGGTCAGCCCTGAGGGACCCGGAGGCTCCACCGACGTCCCACGCAGGTATCGGCAGGATGCGGGTGGATTCAGGCCTGAGAGGCTCTCATCCTCATTTCACTCCTCTGACATCAGTGGTGGCTGCAATTATTTGCTGGTGGCCTAAACAGCAGACTTTTATTTCCCCTTTTTATTTCCCCTCAATCCTGGAGGCCTGAAGTTCAAGATCAACGTTTCAGAGTAGGTTTCTTGCGAGCTTCTCTCTCCCCGTGATCGCCCCTCTGCATGTGTCTACTCATCTCCTTATAAGGACCCCAGTCCTGTGGGAAGGGGGCCACCCTAATGACCTCGTGTTAGCTTAATCCCCTCTTCAAAGGCCCTCTCTCCAAGTACAGTCACTCCCTGAAGTACTGGGGGTTAGGACTTAAACATATGCATTTGGGAGGGGACACCATTCAGTCCAAAGCATGGGTGATTCATCATCATTCCAGAATTTATAGACCATGACCCCAGTGACTCCTATAAAAACAGCAATGCCTACCCCCTCAGCAACAACTAGACTTCTACCTCCAATGGGGAAACCGAGGCGGGAGAGACTGACTTGTCCATGATGACACAGCCAGCCAGAGGCTGAGCAGGATGTGGGTTTGGGCCTGACTCCTTCCAGAGCCCATCAGCTTTCCACGTGCTACAATAGGCTTTAAAATGGTCAGGGAAGGTTCTAGACTCCCCACAATCTGCCTTCAGGGACGGTGACATGGCTGACTGCTTTATATCAGGTCGCCCATGCCGGCCAGGGGCCCACTCCTGGAAGGAGCTCGAGGACACAGGACTTGGGACCTATTTATCTTGGCACCACGATGCCCCACCCCTGCCTGGCTCCGCAGCTGCTCAGGAATTGTCGGACCGATCCGAGGGTGACTCAGGCACGGTCACTGCCCGGGAAGAACGCACTCGCTCTGGGAGTGGGCAGCGAGCCAGCACACGTCACCACACATGGGGACACGCAGCCAAGAGCCGGCCGCTTTTCCCCTCCTATTTGGGGCCCACCATTGCTCCGAGCGACGGAGCTGACCTCGCTGCATCTGCTGGCAGAGCTCAAGTTAATCCCGAAGCCGTCAGCTGTCCCGGAGCTGAGTCACAAGGGCGGTTGGCAGGGCTCCTC